GCAGCGCTTTACAGACCCGTTGCAACTCGAGGTTCTCCACGCCAAGAGAACTCCAGGCGGAAAAAAGATCTCTGACGAGAGCTGGCAGGCGATCGTCAAAACAGAGGTCGTTAGCTCTAGCGGTGCTGCTCAGCCTGCTGCCAGCAGCAGCCAAGCCGCTCAGCCACCTCAGTGGGACCCTCGGTTGCGTGCAGCACGAGGCTGGTACGAGTCGTCCTATGAGTGGCGCATCGTCTCTTACGCCATGCATGCACAGGCCAAGCTTGATGCGCACGATGCTGGCCAGCTGCTCTTTTACGTCCCAGCAATCGACAGACCAGCTGCGCGCCTCGCGAAGCCTGATTACGACGAGATGCGCGCGGAGCCCAACATCGGCGCTTCCGCAAAAATGCCGGGGCTGCTGCCGCTCTTCGTTGGCATGGAGGTCATCCTGACAGAATCCGTCTTGCCGCCGAAGTATGTCCGTGGCGCGCCAGGCAAAGTGGTAGGCATAGAGCTGCACGCTCTGGATCCTCCGGTGGAGGGCCGCCCGTCCATTGTCTCGGACGGCGTGGTCGTACTCTACTACATGCCAAAGGCCGTCTATGTCAAGATCGATGACAGCGATGAACTTTTCTTGAAGGCCGCGCCGGTGACAGCTAACAGTGCTTCTCAGCCTGCCGGCCCCGACCTGCGCGGAGTGCTCGCGATCACTCCGCAGGCGCGCCCCTGGAAGTTCAAAGCGAAGACAGGTGGCCCGGCCCTCGCGGTGTCCAGGACGCAGTTGACCGTGCTGCCCAAGAAGCAGGGGACTCTGCATGGCGTCCAGGGCAAGACGACGGACCCAGGCTTCATCGTGCACTGGACGTTTCCGCCGGGACTCAAGAAGGAGTCCATTTGGCTTGCCTACTACGTCAGCCTGTCGCGCCCCAGAAGCTTCAACCAACTCTTGAGCCACGGCTTGCCTGACCGGAGCATCATCGAATCCGGCCCCCCGGAACAGATCGCCAAGGCCTTTTCCGAGCTGTTCACGGACAAGATTGCCGCGACGAAGATCGCTTGCGCGAAGGCCCGACAGCAACTGGGATGGCCTGCGCGAGCTTGAGGAGCCATGAGATGCAGGTTGCGGTGTGGCGGTGCTGTTCAGTCTGTCCGTCTGCATTCGCGTGGTGCTTCTCAGCCTGCATGCGCGTGGTGCTTCTCAGCCTGCGCTCGTGTGCAGCTGTGCGCGGTGAGCCTGCACGTGTCGCGGACACGTTCTGGATCAGGACGGGGGGTCCGAGCCCGAGATGGAATGCTAGCGCTCTGCAGTACAAGTGCTTTTCAGCATGCGACATCCTGCGGTGCTTCTCAGCCTGCAGGGTTCGCAGCGTGCGGTTTCGATGCATTCCTTTTCAGTATGCGAGTTCCTGCGGTGAGCTCCGTAGCTCCGTTCCGTAAACATCGTCCAAGAGCCGCTCGCAAGCTTTTGCAGCTGGCGGTCTGCAGACGTAGTCTGTCTCAGCATGCGAGCTCCCGCACGCTTCGCCGGCTTTTGCTGCGCGGACAATTTTCTCACACACGTCAGCGCCGCTTGTAGGCGTCAGAAAAACATGTAGACATTCACGAAGGGCTCAGTCTCTATATCGTCACATCATTACATACGCAGTCGTCGAACACATCGGTGTACATTCAGCGCTTTGTCCTTCTAGCTGGGTCGCTTCGTGCTGAGGCTGAGGCTGATGCAGGCTGAGGGAATGCTGCCATATATGCTCCTACACATGGCTGTTAGGTTGCTTTGCCGGGATAATTTTTGTCTGTGTGTTCGTTGCCCATGTTGCGCTCTTGGGGGCGGGTGTCGTTCGGACGCGTTGCGTGGGGAGTTTTGATGGTGAAGCAGTTCCCTGGGGGTCGTCTCTCGATGGGGCGAAATAGAGTCGTCGTCAAGATGCTTCTTTGGGGGCCTCTTGGGGTCTGTTGAGAGGCCGTTCGGGGGCGCCTGGGAGACATGTTTGAAGCCTTCTGGGGCTTCTTTTGGGCCTCCTGGGAGTCTCCTGGGGCCTCTTGGCGACATCTTTGGGGCCTCTTGGAGGCCTCTTGGGGCCTCTTTGGGACCTCCTGGGTGCCTTCTGGGACGGAGGGCTCCATTTTTGAGTTCTCGGTATCCCTCCTGAGTCCCTCTTGGGCCCGTCTTGGGGCCTCTTGGTCCGTCTTGGGCGGCACTTGGGCCGTCTTGAGGGCTCTCTTGGGTCGTTTCGGCGCCGTCTTGGGAGCTTCGTGGGCCGTCTTGGAGCGGTCTTTGGGGGCCTCTTGGGCCGTCTTGGAGCGTCCGGAAGCCGAAAAAGCCAGAACACAAAAAACATAGAAAAAACCAATGAAAATCAACGATTTTGGCCTCTTGGGGCTCTCTTCGGAGGCCTCTTGGAAGGCTCTTGGGGCGTCTTGGAGGCCTCTTGGGCTGTCTTGGGGGCCTTTTGGGCCGTCTTGGGGTCATCTTCGGCGTCTTCGAGCGCTCTTTGGGCGTCTCGGGGGCCTCTTGGGCAGTCTTGGGGGCCTCTTGGGGCACTCTGAGCGCGCTCTGGGGAGCCTGAGAGGCCGCACCCAGAAGGAAAACCATCTCTGAGTAGACTTGGTCGGGCGGCGACCGGGCGTTGGTCGGGGTACTTTTCGCCGGGGGACCCCCAGGGGCCGCCCCGCGCGCATCATGTTTTGTCAATCTTTTATTTCTCATCCAAAATCCCCTGTAGGGGGACATGCCCGACCGAACATTTGGCATGAGTGGGTCTTGGTGCCGCGAGTGGGGGTGTTTGGGATGAGCCGGGCCTTGTGCCGCGTGTGGGGGTTCCAGGAGTCCTGGATGGGGTCCGAGTAGATGGGGTCGGAGGATCGCGCCGCATCGCCGATGCATCGCCAATGCACCTCCATGTGGAGCCCGATTTGCTTCACGTCGACGTCGCCGATGCATCGCCGGTGCATCGCCGATGCATCGCCGATGCATCGCTGATGTATCGGCGATGCGGCGCGATCATCCGACCCCATCTAAAAAGCCTCTAGGGATGGCAAGGAAGGAAGAGCGTAGGGTGGTTCACGCATGGGGCAGCTCGCCGTCCTTTCGGGCATTTGGGAGTCTGGATTGTTGAAGCTCCTGGGTACAGCGCTGTTGGCCATGTCAAGACATCTTTCGATGCGCCCAGCGGAGTAAGCGAGACAGGAGGCAGACACAGAAGGAAGACGCAGACGCCAGGCAAGAGCGGTGGAGGTAGTCACGTTCAGCGCCGAGGCAGGAACGTGCAAGCCTTCAGATCCTCCGTTACGCGATCTTTCTGGGGATCTTCTCACTGGCAAGGACCAGGTCCCAGGGGTGTGCTTGACGGGCTTCCGCTTCGTGCGCCCCCTGCCCGATCCAGTCTGCCGCAGCCTTGTGGTGATGTGTACAGTCAAGGTGCTCCAAATCCCTTCTTAATCGACCCCCCCCCCCAAAAAAACGGGACCCCACTCCGAATGCGACCTGATATTCGGGACCCCCTCTCTTCGACGGGGCGCCTTGATAAACCGGACCCCCTGAGCTCCAATCCAGAGGAAGCGCCCCAATAAACCGACCCCCCCCAGTTACAAATACGACACCTTAAATACCGGACCCAGGGAACGATTAATAATCAGGGGCAACAATCAGGGGGGATAGGCATAGGGGGGGATGCATCGACCCCCAATCGCCCATTGATCGCCGATAGGGGGCCGATACCCCCAACCTGCCCTGGAAGGTGCGGATTCACGATCGCAGGCCTATCCCCGATCTACCGGCGATGTATCGCCGATTCCAGGTCGATGCATCCCCCCTATGCCAGACCCCCCCCTCGATCGTTGCCCTCGAGTGAGGGACTTGGAGCACAGAGCCACCCTGGGCTCGGGAGGGGCTCGGGCTTCCGGGCCGTTGCCTCTGGGTCCGGGTCGGGGAGCCTGCGGGCGGGCGAGGCCCGCCGCGGCCAGGAGGGCCCTTCGGCGTTCCCTCTCTCCGGCGCTCCTCCCGGCAGCGCCATATGCTCGTCAGGAGGGCGAGCCTGCGCCCTCGAGCGCGGCCGCAACGGTGCGTCAGTCCTGGCAATCGCTGCCGCATTGGGTTCTGCAAGCCAGGCTGCGGGTGCGTGGGTGGGGCGCTCGTTCGAGCAGTGGAGCTGACGGCTTCAAGTTCGGCAAGACGAACCGCGCCACGCAGATTTCAGCGCATATTTTACACACAGCACACACTGCGCAACGTAGCATCCCTCTTTGCAAAACAGGAGTTTGGATCTACCCCTCCCTCCCCCCGCCTCCCGGATTTTATCCGCTCGGCCTGGGGATGTGCAATTTGCATGTGTTGCTGCCTCATCGTTCATTCTATGCTGGATTCATATCGCCCCAGCAAGGCCGGGTTCGACCCCCCCCCCTCGCCCTCGTCAAATAATATTACGCGCGCGCGTTGATCACCAATCATCAATTTGCAAGAACCCCTTACCGAAAATGGGACGAAGGTTGTACGCGTCGTCGCGCGCGCATGCTGGGATCTTTCAAGAACTTCATGTTTCGCACGGGATTCAAGATCGAATGCCCCGGGAGCATGTAACAACACATAGTTTTGCAACACGATGTTGCGCAAACGGCCCTCGCGCGCGCTGTCGCGAATTCTTGCAACAATCATGGGTGTTTCAACGTGTCCACATGAAGAAAACGAATCGCTGGCGTTTCAAGACATTTGCACCTCTGGCACCATAGCCTGCAGGTGCTCATCAGGCTTTGGCTTCTCCTCCTCTTCCTCCTTATGTTCCTCCTCCCTCTCGTCATCCCAAGAAGAAGAAGGTGCCCTTCAGGGGGCTGCGCTCGTGGACGAGGAGTGCCGCGCACCGTGGTGTGACAAGAAGGCCGAGCTGTCACGCGGTCGTAGCTGAGTATTTGTTTGCACACCTGTCGTCGTGGCTGCTAAATGTGCTGGGCCCTCGTCGTCCAGGCGGTGCGGGATGGTCAGGAAGGCGGGCTGCCGTCGCTCTGACCCGAGCGGCCGTGCGGAGGACGTCCGAGACCCCTCCAGGGCCGCCGAGCCGCGGCGGGAGCCGCAGAAGGCGCGGCGCTCGGCAGGGCTGAGAGCACCACGCAGGGCTGGAGCGGGAGGGTGGCCAGGCTCAAGCGGGCACGGGTGCAGCAGAGACGCTGCAGCGAGGAACAGTTCGGGTTCGAAGGGGCTCGGTGTTCCCCAGGTCCGTCCATGGCTGTTCCTCTGGCCCTCCTCGTGCGCGCACGCGCTTCTGGGGGCAAGGAGGGGCTCCGTTCTTTCCTCAGCGTTCCTTCTTTCAGCAGTCCGACTGTAGCAGTTTTCCCTCAGCGGCTTGTTCGTCGGGGTTCTATGCCTCTCTTCTGGCGCCTGGGGGGGAGCCCCGGGTCTCCTCGAAATCGGTGGCCCATCGTGGGACCCCGGACCCCAATCGTTGGACCCCCTCCGTGGCCCTCCCATCATGCCCCTCTACCGTGGCCCCCCCGGCTGTCCGAAAGCTGCGTAGGGTCTGCCGTCGCTCCTCGGCGTCTCCTGTGGGCGCAGACACAGGGTGCTCCCTCTCCGGTTTGTGGCTCCGCGTGTCCCCACCGGCAAAGCTCGTTCAGTCGGAAGGTCGGGCCAACGCACGACAAGACAAGCCCCAGCCCCGATCAATTTTCTGGCCGCAGCACCAGGGGCACAGAGTCGTTTCTTAAGTGGGTGAAGACGCACCCTTGGTGAACGGGGGCCGCGCTGGGATGATCGGACTTGGGAAATTGACCCCTGCTCGGGCCACATTGTATTTGTTTCTGCACGAGCGTAGCAAAACTACGTCCCTGTGTCGCGTCGCACGACGCACGCGCCTTTCATCACAGCGCGTGCGGCGTTGGCAGTTTCGCATTCTCATGGCACTTGCATCGCGCGAGCTTTTCGAGCGCTTGTGTGTCCTCCCATCGCCGATTCCCGGCCAGCAGCGCCTCGTGGAGCCGCCACGCATCACATTGGTTGCGGACCGTTATAGGAGCAAGGAGGAGCCAGGCTGCGCGCATGGGTGCTGACTGGTCGAACGTTCGACCGGAGCCGAGGTTGACTCCGAATTTCTTGCATGAGTTCAGCTGACTACCATGACTATAAAGTCCAGCATCTGATTAAGAAACCTCCTTCCAACAAGCTCGGCCAGCGTTTCTGAACAAGCTTGCCGGAACACTGGCCCAGTTTCTCTAGCAAGTTCGCCCCTCCAGCGTTAGCGGCAGGAATTGGCCCAGGTTTGATGTAAGGAACTTCTTGGTCGTTGGCTCAGATTTCTTCACTGAGAGATTATTTGATCCTAGCTTCGGCTGTGTATGCGCCAGTCATTGAATGACTGTGTTTCTGGACTCACAGGTCCTAATCTGCTTCAAGCGCCTCCTTACTTCGATAATCGATGTGTGCTTTTTTACAGCGTCTTGTTATTCTCTGGGAGGGCCTGACTCCAATCTGCTTTATCCGCCATCCTACTTCATATGTTTACCTACTACTTCCGACCGACGTGTGTGGCCAACTTGGTGCCAGGCAGTGGCCAATTCGAGAATGCTTGACGTTTCGCGTACCCCCACCAGCTCTTCGGCTTCCTCCTGGTCCCGTTCTGAGTTGCGGTGGTAGGCCTGCTTTTGCTAAGTAAATTAGGCCCTCGCTTGGCCCGCTCGGACCTTGATTCGCCGTCGGCGCGCTCGCCTGCGGCTGGCAACAAAAAAGTATCCCCACCAGCCCACACAGAAATATACCTCCAGGCGAGAATTGCCTTGATCAGGGAACTGTAGAAGCATGCAGTGCAACAACCGCCTCGGATGTGTTTTCTCCGAGGTCTCTTGGAGTCATTTGGGTCTCTCTTGCGGTCCTCGCGGAGCCACTTGGGGCACTCTTGGGGCCCTCTTGGGGCTCTCTTGGTCGGTCTAGGGGCCCTCTTGGGGGCTATTTGGTGGGGTCTAGGACCCTTCCACTTGGGTGTAAATTCAGGTCCCCCCCCTCGGAGGTTCAAAAATGGCGTCTTGGGGAGCTCTTGGGGCGACTCTTGGGCGCTCTTTGGGCCGTCTTGGAGCCGGCCATCTTGGGGCCATCTTGAGGCCTCCGACGCCCCATCGGAAGCGAAACGGCGAGAAGGCAACAATCACACATCTTCCTGAGGTTTCACAACAATGCTTGCCTTTTGGGGGGGGCCCTTGGAGGGCTCGGAGGGCACTTGGAACCGTTTAGGGCCCGTCTTGAGGCCTGTCGGAGGCTATTTTGAGGCATCTTGAGATATCTTGAGCCATGTAGGAGGCCATCTTTGGGTCTCTGAGGCCTTCCTGGAGCCCTCTTGGGCGACCTTGGGGGCTCCAACGTGTCGCGCCCCCCCCCCCCTCCCAGGCCCAGGGGAGGGGGGAGGGGACGGACGGGGCAACCCCTCCCGCGAGCAGGGGAACGAGGGGTGCTGGGCAGAGAGAAGACAAAACACGTGACCACCTGCGCCCAGAGGGCGTAGGTGGGATTTGCCGAGGGACGCCGCGCCAGGGAGCGGCAGCTGCGGGGGCAGGGAGCTCGCGACCCCACCCCGGAAGATCCCCCAGGGCCCCAGCTCGTCCGTCCTCTCCCTCCTCCCTCCTCCCTCCTCCCCCTCCTCCCCCCTCCTCCCTCCTCCCTCCTCCCCCTCCTCCCCCTCCTCCCTCCTCTCCCTCCTCCCTCTTCCCTCCTCTCCCTGCTCGGTGCGAGGGCCTGTGCGGGCGGCTCGGCCGAGGCGCCCAGCAGGCCTGCGCGCCCCGCCCCCCCCCCTCGGTGCAGGGCAGCGGCCCGGAGCCCCTGGGCGGCCAGAGGCAGATGGCGCAGCAGCAGAAGGACGCAGCCGCCCCTCGCGCCCGCCGCAGCGGACATGCCGCACCTGAGCGGGCGCACGTGAGGCAGATCACGGCGTGACGAAGAGATGCCCGGGCCGTGGAGAGGTTTCATGGGAGGAGCAGGCACGGGAAGAGCGTGGCCCGATCCCGACGTCCCTGGCCGCATCCAAGGACAGGCGGGAGCTGGGCCCTCGTCTCCGCGCGAGGGCCGACGCGGGCGCGGGGGGCGTGGGGGCGCATGCCGTGCGAGATTGGTCTGGCTGGGCCAAGCCAGCGTGATTGGTGTTCTTTGTGAACCTGCCCCCTCTGGCAGGACAGCCCGCGTCTGCTTTCGATCTGCGCTCGTCGCCTCATCGGTCTTTCCGCTGGGATGGCTGCAGCTCCATTCGCATCTCCTTAGCTGCGCCCCGTGCGCGCACAGACTCCGTAGCTCTTCCGGCACGAGCGCGAAACGATCCGCTGGGAGGAGGAGACGGGAGCGGCTTGCACGGCCGAGGCCTTGGAGCTGGCTGGGGGCCTGCACTGGTTCCTGCACTGGCTTGGAGCTGGCTGGGGGCCTGCCTGGGCGCTTGGCCCGGCACTGGTTCCGGCGAGCAGCAAGGGGGGGGTAAGCTTCGAGCTCCTGGGCTCGAGAAGGTGTTTTGTTGCCTCTTTCGCTCCCCAGGGGGCCGTCTTTGGGGCCCGGGACCGTCAAAACGGATTTGGGAGGAAAGGAGGAGGAGGAGGAGGAGGAGGAGGAGGAGGAGGAGGATGAGGAGGAGGAGGAGGAAGGAGGAGAGGAGGAGGAGGAGTAGGAGGAGGAGGAGGAGAGGAGGAGAGAGAGGGAGGAGGAGGAGGAGGAGGAGGAGGAGGTGAGGCAGAGGAGGAGGAGGAGGAGGAGGAGGAGGAGGAGGCGAGGAGGAGGAGAAGGATGCGGAGGCGAAGAGGAGGCGGGGTGGCGGAGCGCGGACGGCGGAGGCGGAGGGGAAGGCAGGAGGAGGCGGAGGAGGAGGAGAGGAGGAGGAGGAGGATGGAGGAGGAGGAGAGGTGGAGGAGGAGGAGAGGGAGGAGGAGGAGGGGAAGGGGGAGGGTGGAGGGGGAGGGAGGTGGGGGAGGGAAGTTTTGGAGAGGGGGAGGGGGAGGAGGAGCGAGGAGGGGAGGAGGAGGAGGACTGGAGGAGGAGGAGGATGGAGGAGGAGGAGGAGGAGGAGGAGAGGGGAGGAGGAGGAGGAGGAGGAGGAGGAGGAGGAGGATGGAAGGAGGAGGAGGAGGAGGAGGAGGAGGCCGCGTAGGAGGAGGAGGAGGAGGAGGAGGAGGAGGGGAGTAGGAGGAGGAGTAGGAGGGAGGAGGAGGAGGAGGAGGAGGAGGAGGAGGAGGAGGAGAGGAGGCGGAGGAGGAGGCGGGGAGGCGGAGGCGGAGGAGGAGGAGGAGGAGGAGGAGGAGGAGGAGGAGGAGGAGGAGGAGGCGATGGAGGATGCACTTCATTGCTACTGGACATGCCCATGCCTCCCAGATCTTGGCCGTTTCCACCCAGCCATTGCCGACTCGCAACATCTTTTGCAGTAAGCTACGGTGGAGGCGGCATCCAATGCCATCAAGTGGCTACGAGGTTTATGTACAGCCGCAGCACGATACAGTTGGAGTTGCTGCTAATTTCCATGGTGCCGAGGACCCCCAAGGAACTGGAATTTTGAGGGTGCCCTGGACCTTTTCGTTTACTGACTGGCGCCTGGTTTGAATTGATGCGTCAGGAGGGAAGTTCACTGGGGATCCGAGGCTTAGGAAGATTGGATGGGGCCTCGCGCTGTTCGATCAGGACATACGTGCGATCGGCACGGTCTTCGGCCCCGTCCCAGGCAAGCAGACCATCAATCGTGGTGAGCTCATGGCCGCCATCGCTGCGCTCAGATTGCGGGGACCCGTCCACCTAGTTACTGACAGTATGTATCCCCTTCGAGGGTTCAGACATGGGGCCCCATGGAGGCACAAACTCAATACTGACATTTGGAATGTTTTCTGGAAAGTGGTTTCGAAGCGGCAATACCCCTGTACCCTTGATAAAGTTAAGGCCCATGCATCCCTGGAAGATCTTGAGAGTGGAGTGGTCTACCCAGTCTACTATTTCGTCAACCACGTTGCTGATGCAGTCGCGAGGAGAGCAGCCGACTTCTTTGAATTACCCGAGGAGATCCTCGAGCACGTTCGGCAACGGGATGGTGAAATGAGCCTAATAGTTTAACGCCTTGCTGTCATTCAGTTTCTTGCCTGGACCCACGGGCGCAAACCCGGGGCCTTCAAGGCCCCTAGGGACGCTTTGGTCCGTCGGTTGCGGGAGGCTCAACTGAGCCCGCACACCATCGAACAGCATGGTGACCGAATTCAGTGTGTGCGATGTGCTCGGGTTGGAGTCCTTGGGAAAGCTCGCTGGGTTAACAAACCCTGCTGCCCCCACCCTGGAGTGTTTTATACCCACGAGACACATCGCCCTCACCTCCGCACGTACAGGGGGGTGACGTTCTGTCTTAGATGTGGGGGGTGGTCAGCCCATCGGAGCAGGAAGCTCCGGGAGGAGTGCAAGGAGGCCACCCCCACTGGATGCAAGGCCATCCGCCGACTTCTTTCCCGCCAGCTTCCCCAAGGGTTGCTGTCCTGGCCGTCTGGAGAGTTAGCAATGCTCCGAGAAGGAGCTGCTTGGCAATCAGGAGTCGGGACCTTGCAGTAGGCCCGACGCATGGGCCCGCGGCGCGCGCGGAGCCACCCCCCAAACTGGAAACTGGAAACTGGAGGAGGAGGAGGAGGAGGGGGGGAGGAGGAGGAGGGGGGAGGAAGAGGAGGAGGAGGAGGAGGAGGAGGTAGAGGCGGAGGCGGAGCGAGGAGGAGGAGGGGAGGAGCAGGAGCAGGAGAAGCAGGAGGAGGAGGAGGAGGAGGAGGAGGAGGAGGAGGAGAAGCAGGAGGAGGAAGAGGAGGAGGAGGAGAAGGAGGAGGATGAGGAGGAGGAGGAGGAGGGTGAGCGGTCTAGGGGCGGATTTCGAGCGGATTTGGATCCATCCCCCATCTCTTGGCCGATTTCCTCGGGGCCCAATCCAGATCGGTCCCCCAGGCCGCCTCCAAGAGCGAGGCCCGCCCCACACTGCAGTGCAGTGGTGAACGGGGGTGTGCCGAGTCGGCTCGGGACGATGCAGCGTGCGGTGCAGAGCCCAGAGAGGGGAGGGTCGAACGATGGCTGTTATCTGCGCGCCTCCTTCTTTTTGGGAGGCGTCGCACGCACAAGCACTGGGCGTTGATGCAGCTCGTCTGGTAGAGATTTAAGGATGAGATTTTGACGCTCAGAACCTCAACCGAGATGCTGGCCGATCCTCCAAGAGGAGGCAAGATGCAGGTGCGGCGCATGGCCTCGCATCACGTATTGCAGGTCTGCCCGTGCACCCTTGTCTCAGGACTCCTTGGCGTTCTGCATCATCTTGCCTTGGTCTACTCGTGCGGCCGCCCCTGGTTGAGTGATAAATCTACCAGGAGCTCGTCTGCGCACAGCTGAAGAAGGAGCTGCGCGACCGCCTGCGGCAGCTCGACGCAGTTGCGCTAGCGAAGGCTGGACTGGGCCGAGATCACGGGCCTGTGGGACGGTGGATGCAGCATTCCCCATCCCTTGTTAATGCCCCCTGTCATCATTCACACTCTCTTCTCTTCGCCTTCCGCCTGAAGCCTCCCTATATACCCCCTCCCCCTGCCCCGTCTCTCTCTCTCACACCATCTCTCTCGCGCTTGTCTTCAGAAAATGAATGCGAATACTACTAACACTAACAATGATGAGACGAAGAAGTGTCAAAGCCAGATTACAAAAACTGGCCAGAGAGCAAGAAGGAGACACAACGGCAACTACATCAACATAACATGTCGAAGGACAGCGCATATTGGAAGGGTCGGCGCCGGGCCCCCATCTCCTGGCGCGCAAATGTGGGGGCTCATCGCCGGTCCAGGAATGCTGCGTGGATCTCCGAAAGTTTTTGTTCATGCTGTGTGTACTCTTGTCCTCTCTGCTTTATCTCCGTCTCGCTCCCTCCTTCTCTCCTTCCTGCCTCCCTCTCTTTCCACCTCCCTCTTTTCCTTCTGTTCTCTCTCCCCCTCTCTCTCTCTCCTCTCCTCTCCCCTCGCCGCTCTCAGTCGACGCTCCCCGGTGCAAGGCCACGTGGGCCGCAGGGTTGGCCTGGGCCTTTGCAGGAGGGAAGGCGGCAGTGTTTCGGGGGCGGCAGAGAGGGGGGTGATGACTGGGGGGGTGGATATCATGGCGTGGGCCATGGTATTTCTCAAGATTTCATGGCGCCTCTTCTTATTTCATTACGTCCCTGGCCCCCACCCTGGGCCGCGCACATGCTGCCGGCCACGCTTGCACCCCCCCCTCTTGGACGCCCCCCTCTTACACTCGCTCCCGAGTGTTCAATGCTGAGCTGCATGTGCAGGTTCCGCGCGGTGGCGGCCAGAGCTGTCCCGAACGCACGCGGCTTGGTCCAGAGCTTGACCAACCCAGCGGCGCCGGCCCCGGCCGAAAGAACCCTGTCACCCTGAAGCGGCCGGGCTGGGCTTTTCTTCTCGCAGGTTACGTCGCGGCTCGCTTGCGACCCTTGTGCTCTGCCTCACCGCTAGTCCCAGGCGGTTTGGGGTGAAAGTTGCGTTGCGGGTCCTCAGGGCGCCCGAGGAGGCTGCAATGCCGCTTCTGGCTGGATCTCGCGAGCTGCTCAGAGATGAGAGAGGCTGGACGAGCGAGTGGCGAGGCCGAGGGCGTGTCAGCAGGCAGGGCAGCCCAGCGGCACGAGCCCGCGAAGCGGAGACGCTGGCCAGAACGCCCGGGCTCTTCTGCCCTTCGGGTTGGGCCAGACTTAGGCACCGTCAGCAAGGGTACGGAAAGGATGGGTATGAAAGACCGACATCACGTCCTGCTCATTCTGATCAGGACTCGCTGTCCGTGTCGCCGCGGACGTTCCGCAGCGGAGGCAGAGGGCCGCCTGCCCAACAGCGGGCGCTGTGTGGGTTTTGGGGCAGAGCTTGTCGTTTGGCATCGCACCCACTGGTTCCGTATACGGTCGGGCCGAGGTATAAGATCGAGGTCGGTTCGGGGAGGGTACCCTAGTGTTCGTCGTGTTTGTTGGATGCTCTTGTGCATCCTGGGGAGGGTACCCTTGGATGTTCTGTGTGGTTGGGCTGGCGGAGGGTCTCAAGTTCTTGAGGGATGTTCTTCTGTCCTAGGTCCGACAGTATACCCACTGACTCGGCGGTTGGCGGGGAAGGTCGCCCGGGAGCCTCGCGGCGCCGAGGGGTCGGGGGGACAGCGGGCGCAGAGCGAGCCGCGCCTGTCTTCAGCCTGCTGCTGGGGGGGGGCCGTGGCCTGTCTTCCCGGGGGGGGGGGGGGGCACCCTGGGCCTGCGAGGCCCTCCTCCTCCTCCTCCTCCTCCTCCTCCTCTTCTCCCTCGCGCGATGCTATGCAGGGCGGCGAGGCAAGTCGCGCCCTCCTTCCGTGCTGACGTCTGCCTTGGAGTGTCAGTCTGGCTGGGGCGACTTCAGGGCACGGCAGCACGCCAAAGGAGCTGGGGATACACGTGGGTCATCGGTCGCACGTGTCCTTAACAACGGGCTGGATGTCGATGCAGAGGCAGGGAGTTCAGTGGCGGCAGGAATATTCATCAAAGCTTGCAGAGTTGCTGAGGTGGTTCTCAGGGTCGTGGAGGCGGGGGGATTCAGTAGGGGCAGGAAGAGAGTTCGCGGAGTTGCTCGGCTGGTCGTCAGGGTCGTGCTGTTTTGTGTTCATCCATACAGTACTTGGTAACAGCAGGCCCCCTTTGATGAGCGAGTTCCTGGATATCCTGCGATGGAGATTGGCAGCGGGGGGTGCAGCGCGTTTGAGCGTGGGCTTGAGACCTACGTCCTGCTCCACGTGGCCCGCCTCTCTCCCGCGAGACAGGCTGCAGCCGCCCACTCTTCTTCGGCCCTGCGCCCTCCCGCAGTGGAAGCGCCTCGAGCAAGAGCACCAGCTGAACCGGGAATTCCTTCAGAAACAGGCCGCGGCCGGCGCCCATGGGAGGAACCCAGCCGGAGGAGAGACCGTCCTTCCGCCTCTCCCCCCAGGTCTCCCGCGACAGGTCGATCTCTGGACGGGCGGGGTGGAGCCTTAACACAGGACGGCCTGGTGGTCCCGTCTGCGTGTGATTCTTCAGTCGGAGGTTCGGAATTGGTGTGAGGCACCACTGCGCTCACGCAGCCCTGGGCGGCATGTTTCGGGCCGGGCGAAAGGGGGGGATTGGGAAAGGGGGGGGGGTACGAAATTTGCTGCATGCAAGCTAGGTTTCGCCTCTCACCGGCCGCCTCGGCGCCGCGGAGGCGCGGGGGAAAATCAGTACGTGAGCTGATTCTCAAACCCCCCTTTTCTATCCCCCCCTTGTAGCCCGACCCGAATGTTGGAGAACCCTTGATGCTCCCCCTCTCCCTCCCTCTCCCCCCTCTCCCTCCATCGTCTTATCGTTCTGCCGGCCCCCGGGAGCTGGCGCAGTGGGATGCCGGGCACACCGTGCGTCATGCCAGCGCCGGGCGAGAGGCCCCTATAGCCTTCCTCCCCGCACCCCTCAGCCGCCGAAGGGGCCGGCCGGGTGTTGTGGCAGGAGGTGGCGGACGCAGGGGGAGGCGAACAGAGGGAGAGAGAGAGAGAGAGAGAGAGAGCACCGCGAGAGAGAGGGAGAGAGAGCACCCTGACCTCGGGCGCGTGGCCGCGACGCCCGACCAACATGCCACGGCTCGTGCCCAGCCTCCCCCCGCCGCGGCCCCCGTCGCTGGCCAGGGGGCGCCGCGGTCCGCGCTCCGGGAGCGGTCGGGAGCGTCCCAGTGTGATTGTGGAGGAGGAGGAGGAGCAGGAGGAGGAGGAGGAGGAGGAGGAGGAGGAGGAGGAGGAGGAGGAGGAGGAGGAGGAGGAGGAGGGGTTTATGAGGGGAAGGTGACGGAGGAGAGGAGGAGGCAGAGACGACGCTCTCTCCTTCTGTCGCAGTGCTCACGTAGCAGCCTGTCCATTTTTCAAAGTGCCCCTCCCTCCTCTGTCTCTGTTTCCAGGTGCTTGCCTGCACGCAGATGCTCTGGCGGCCACAGTTCCTCATGAGTGCTTATATGCTCTTGTTTGGTCGGGTCTGCATCGTTCCACTCCGTCGGTTTTCAAGTTCCGCCCGCAGAGCATGCCCAGGAAGGCCCAGAGGAGGGGGGGGGGGAGCGGCGACGGGGGGCCCAGGGAGAGGGGGGATGCAGGGAAAGGGGACGACAGAGACGACGACGCCACGACGCATTCATGCATGACGGACACGACGACTCGCACGGACAAGCCCCTCACGCATGCCGACAGGGTCGGCGGATTCTGTCCGCTTCCGCCCGCAGAGCATGATGACGCATGCCCGCCCAGCATGCCAGAGCGCACGGCCTGCGAGTGTGCGCCCGGCGCGGGAGCCCACGGCCTCAGTCCACGCCCACCCTCGGTGCCGCAGCGGGGCACAGGGATCCAGTGAGAGCCCCCAGGTCCCAGAGGCCCGAGGCGAGAGGAGGAGGAGGAGGAGGGCGGGGACGAGGAGGGCGAGGAGGAGGAGGAGGAGGAGGAGGAGGACGAGGACGAGGACGAGGAGGAGGCGCTGCAGCAGCAGTGCCCGTAGGTCGCTTGGCTCGCGGCGCAGCGCGCGAAGCGGAGGGCCGTCGACGAGCTCGAGCGGGCGCGGACGGACCGACCGTCGGGGCGGGGGCCTGGGATCGGCGGTGCGGCCAACGGGCAAGGCAGAGGTCGGGACGGTCGAAGGCTGGGCACAGCGACCGAAGGCAGCTCCTGCTCATTTTGGACAGGACTCGCCGTCGGTGTCGCCGCGGGCGTTGCCCATTTGAGGCAGAAGGCCGGCTGCCCAGCAGCTGCCGCTGTTGGCAAGGGCGCCCTCGAGGGCGCGAAGTTGTTCGCGCTTCGCGGTTCGGCTCCGATTCCTCCCCGTCCTCCTGATCTCACCTGGGAGGCGGCGCGAGAGCGCGAAGTGATTCGCGCTTCGCGCAGCGCGCAGCGCAAAGTTAGGTGCCCTTGTGCTGTTTTTCGCAGCATCTGTTGTTGGGCATCGTACGCATTTTTCCGTACCCCTGTCGGGCGTCCAAAACAGATGATGGGGGCGGGCCTCCCAAGCGCTCTCGGAGGCCAAGAAGTTCTTCTCAGAGGGCCTGGGGGGCTTCTCAGTCGGTGGTTCGAAGATGGGGTCCTGAGGAATTGGCTCCTACTGAGGACGAGGTGCTCCAAATAACCCACTAAGAATACACCCTCGGATCCCATCTTATCCTTAGGACCCCATCCCTCAGGACCCCATCTTTGAACCACCGACTGGGAGGCCCCGCCTCTTCCGGAGAAGGCCTGCCACCTGGAGCGTGTTTCTTCATTGCTTGGGGCATAATGGGCATTCTAGCCCTCTGCCCCGCCCCCCCCTAAATCGTAACGCCCCTCCCCCCAGTGCGCTGCGGGCATTGCCGCCGTGCGCGCGGCGGGGGGGAGGCGATACTTTATACCCCCCTGGCCCCTCCCCCGCTCCCCTCCCCTATAATGCCCATTCTCGCGGAAAATATAAAGCAACGCGCTCCTGTCACTTCCCCCTCGGGGCGCCGGCGACGGGAGGCGGCGAGCGCCGCCAGCTCCAGGCCCGACCTCGCGCGTGCGGGCCGGAAGAGGGCGCTGCTCCAGGACGGCCCGCCGGCCCGGTCGGTGCACTCCCGCGAGCTCGAGGGTCAGAGGCTGACCGAGGCAGCGTCGCCGGTTCCCCTGATCTCAGGGGCGGCCTAACCGACCCACGCTGAGGAGGAGGAGGAGGAGGAGGAGGAGGAGGATGAGGAGGAGGAGGAGGAGGAGGAGGAGGAGGAGGAGGAGGAGGAGGCGGAGGATGCGGAGGAGGAGGCGGAGGAGGAGGAGGAGGCGGAGGAGGAGGGGCAGCCCAGCAAAGGTGGGGGGGGTCACAACCTGCTGCGTGCAGCTGGCCTCGGGCCCCCGCCGCGGGGGCGCGCGCCTTCCCCGAGGCTCTCAGGGGGCGGTCCCGCTGAGGGGGCGCGCACGCGCTGATCTCAGGGGCGGGTCCCCCATGCTGCCGTGACGGCTCCCCTCTCGCCTCGCCCCAGGACGTGTGTGTGCGGCCAGGAGGGCAGATCGGACGGCGAGGATGACGTCTCGGAAGGGGATGGTCTGCTGGGGGTCGGTCAGGCCGCGCCCGATGATCTTCTAACTGTGCCACGCCTCCACTTCCTTCGGCGACGTGCCCATCGTTCCACAGCCGTCTCCTCCACAGCTGCTTTGCTCCGCTGGCCCTTCTTGGTGCCCAGGGTTATGTCAGGCCTGTCCCTCTACAGGAGGAATGTTCAGAAATCGTCAACAGATAGTCTGGGGACGAGTTTTTTGAATATTTCGCGGCTACTTTTGAATATGTTTGGGGTATTATTAATTTTTCGCCCGAAATCCGCCTGTAGAGGGACATGCCCGACTTACAGCCCAGGGTCCGGCGGCAGAGCCGCGTGCCGCTGACGAGAGGGGCGGCACCCCTGGAGCCGACGGCAAAGGTTAAGCGCACAGTGGCCTGGCCTGGCTTCTCCCCGTTGGTCGTATCTTGCGGGCCCGCCCGTTCTCGGTCGGCCTGACCTTCCGCACTCGGTTTAAGTCGGGCCTGTCCCTCTACAGGAGGAGTAGAGCATTTAAAAATAGTCAACACATAGTACGGTGACTATTTTGTCATAGCATTTCTTGGCTATGTTTGACCAGTGTTTGGCTATTTTCAATTTTTCCTCAAAGATCGGCCTGTAGGGCGACAGACCCGACCTAACAGGGTCCCCGCCCCGTCCTGCTTGACGCCGCCTCCCTGCGCCTGGCGCGGATGCAACTCCTGGAGGCCATTTCTTTATTGCTTGGGGCATGACGGGCGTCATGGCCCCCGCTCCCCCCCCCTATGACGTAATGCTCCCCCCCCCCAGTGCGCTCCGGGCACTGCCGCCGTGCGCATTGGGATCCGCGTAGGTGTCCGCGTAGAAATCCGCATAGGTGTCTGGTCCGCAGTCGTCGTCGTCGTCGTCGTCGTCGTCGTCGTCGTCGTCGTCGTCGTCGTCGTCGTCGTCGTTCGTCGTCGTCGCTCGTGGTTCGTCGCTCGTCGCTCATCGTCGTCGTGCGCGCGGACGCGGCTGGAGCCTGTTTTGAAGTCCGGGCCGATGACGGCAATCATCTGGGGTGGGAGGGGGTCGATGACGTCACGTTTCGCGCCGGCGGCGTTTGGGAATGGTTAGGAATGACGGAGGACGGGTAGTAGTATGAACATGTAGGTGGCGATATGCATTGTGTACATCACAGTGCCCGCGTGCACCACAGCGCCTGTGTATACCACGCCGCCGATGTACACCACAGCAGCCGCGTGCAACACAGCGTCAGTTTGTGCCACCGCGCCTGCGGGCACAGCAGCTCCTGTGTACACCACAGCGCATCCGTACAACACATCAGCCGTGCGCAACAGCACCAGTGTACACCACAATGCCTGCGTGCATGGCAGTGCCTGTGTACGCCACGGCGCCTGTGTGCACCACATCAGCAGTGTGCAACACAGCACCATTGTTGTGTATAGAATTTCAGAAGGAATCCTTGTGACAAAATGGAGCGCGTGTGGATTCCAGCGAAAACAATGGAAACAAATCCTCATGGACAAACGAGCGCCGCTGGAATCTACGAGTTCCCCCGGGTCCGCCCGCATCACTCTAACTCCCATTTGCGTCCAGGAGGCTCCAGCTAAACTGGCCGTCCGAGAACCAAGTGGACCGATTCAATCGACCATTCTGCGGTGCACGCTGAGATGCGCACGTGCTTTGTAACGCCAAGCCGCGCGACAGGGGGTAAGAAAGAGGAAAAGGAGGACGAGGAGGAGGAGGAGGAGGAGGAGGTGGAGGAGGAGGGAGGAGGGAAAAACGTCGCATTCGATTCTCAGAACTTTCCTGGCGTGGCGTTGAGTTGTCCGCATCAGATCCTGACGAACATGCTCCTTCTACCTGTCTTATGCACGCAGGCACTGTGGTGTACACCGGCGGTGCGTTGCACGCGGATGCTGTGGTGTAGACAGGCGCTGTGGCGTGCACAGGCGCTGCGTTGCACGCAAGCGCTGTGGTGTATACAGGCGTTGTGTTGCACATGGCTGCTGCGGTGTATGTACACCGGCGCTGTACTGCTCCCAAGTATTGTGGTATACACGGGTGGTGCGTTGCACACGGCTGTTGCGGTGTATGCAGGCGCTGTGGTGCACACGCGCAGTGTGGTGCACGCGAGCGTTGTGGTGCACACGGGCGCAATGGGCAGATCGCCACTTACATGCTGCTCGCGTCGTCGTCGTCGCTCGTCGCTCGTCGCTCGTCGCGTCGTGCGCGCGGGCGCGGGTGTGGTGCCGGAACCACACGGCGGGGGGGGCGTCACGTCATACCCCCCCCCCCGCCCCCTCCCCCTCCCCCACCCCCACCCCCCCCCCCATGACGCCCGTCATTGCCGAACATAAAGAATCGCCTACCTGGGAGGCTAAATTCAATATCAGCGCTGTTGCATTTGTCGAAGAAGAAAAAAACATAAGCATAAACTTTTGGCATTCCGCGCGAATTTCTTGGATCCGCGCCTGGGTCCCCCGGCGGCGCCTCCGGCGCCGCCCATTGGCGCGCTCCGCGCGCCAGGGAGGTGGGTCCAGCGCGAATCCAAGAAATCCGCGCGGAGCGCCGATTTTTCTAATATATATATATATATATATATATATATATATACTTATATATACACACATATCTATCTAACTATCTATCTATCTATATATATCTATCTATCTATCTATCTATCTATCTATCTATCTATCTATCTATCTATCTATCTATCTATCTATCTATATGGAGGCAGAATTCAGCATCGGCGCCGCTGCATTCGCGGGCAAGGCAATGTGGGCCTGATTCCGCACAGTCCCGCTCCGAGCTGGGCTCAGTCCCGCTCAAGCCGGCTCAGTCCTGGGCTCTCAATCTTTGGCTCGGTCCAGGGCCCCGGAATCATTCTTGTAGGTGTTCGATCATGGACCCGCTGTTGAACGCAACCACCCAGCAGTCGCGTCGAAGACCAGCCAAAGACTGTCAGAAACCGCCGAATACCGCCGAAAACCGACCGAAGACCGCCGAAGACGGCCCAAGAGCGAGGAGCGATGGGCAACAAGGGATCCGTGGCCGCACACGCAACCTAGCCTTAAGTCGGGCGTGTCCCTCCGCAGGAGGAGTCTTCAAAAATAGTCAAAAAATAGTCTGGGGACGTTTTTTGGAACATGTTTGCTGCATGTTTAGTCTACTTAAGTTGTCAATATTTTTTCATCGAAAATCCGCCTGCAGGGGGACATGCCCGACCTAAACCGAACCATTCTTGATGAGACCTCCCAGAAGTTTCGGGGTTGGACACGTCGATTAAGGAATCGGCCGTTTTCGGTTCGCGGGAGGGCGTCGCGGCCGTCATTTCTGCGGGCCCAGGTCCGTCGGTTTCGGTCCCAGGCCGTTTTCATTGAAGGGTGGTCTACAGGCGGCCCGGATCAGTAGGTCGACCCTGCCAAATCAAGGGCACCCTTAAGTGTCCTGTGTCTCGCGATCCATGCCTCCTGCATTCCTGTGGCAATGTGGCCCTCGGAAGGGTCTTGTGTCCTCTCGCGTGTCCTGCCCAACCGAGTCCGACTGTACGAAAGGGAGGCTTGTCCACCGCCGAAAGTTGCCGCCCCGCACCCGCCAGGAGCTCCTTAGCTGCGCGCCGTCGCCCGCCTCCGGGGACCTGGCCGCGGCGTCCCTGGCCCTCGGCGGCCGCGCCGAGCTGGAGGCGGGCCGCCGCGGCCGGCGTGCGGCCTCGGGGCCCGCGCGTGCAGTGTTGGCACAGCGGCCAATGTATCATGCCCAACTCGGGGGTGGGCAGGCCTCCTGCCCTGACACGTCGATATTAAGGAATGGGCCGTTTTCGGTGCGCGGGAGGGCGTCGCGGCCGTCATGTTTGCGGGTCCAGGTCCGTCGGTTTCGATCCAAGGCCGTTTTCACTAAGGGGAGGTCTACCAAAAGGAGGTTTGTCCACCGCCGACCAACAGCAGTTCCTGTTCAGTTCCCGTACCCATTTGAGACAGAAGGCCGCCTGCCCAACGCGGCCGCTGTTGGTCTGGGCCCACATGTTTTGTTGGGCAGTATGCCCATGTTTTCCGTACCCATCTCGGGCGTCCCAAGACAGGGAATCGGCCTGCCCGCAGGCGCCCCCACGGAAATTCAGGAGGGAAACGAAAGCACACAGGCACAGTGAATCGTCGACTCACAGGAAACATGGGCAAATCTGGGAAGTGTGTGGGGGGAGACAAAAGCAGAGAACGTATGGGAAAGCATGGGGAATCCTGGGATTTGTGTGTATTCATTTGTGTGTCCCTGTGCCCCTTGACAGTTGGCACATCGGATAAGGAGTCGGCCTTCCGGCAGGCGCCCCGCGGAGATGCCTTATCCCCCGACTGCCCAGGGGACCCGCAGAAGCTCTTTGGTCCCTCCGGGGCACCACATATTGTCGGTATCGAAGAACCGGTCCCTATCCCCATCCCATCCCCATCCCCGTCCCCATCCCCTTCGAGACCCCCCACCGAATTACCCCCCCAGTTGGGGATACACCCCTCGAAACCCGAAGGGAACGACCTATACCCCCACCTCGGGGGGGCTAAATCGGCCAGTGGGGCCCAGGCCACGCCGCTGGGGATGGGGATCGGTGAAACGATACTCATATTGACGACCAGTGCGCCCCAAGATCTCTCACAGCAAGAGTGCCGATCGTTCGTGTCTACAGTCAACCCGTATAGTAAGGATGCGCGAGAAGGATGCAAGGGCCTTGGTCGCCACTTTCCAAGCTTTGCGAGCGGGTCGCGGCCAATGAAAGTGGTCAGGGAAGGACCAGGGAGGCAAGGATGCAAAGGTACCCTTGGGAAGGCTGCCCATCCTCGCTATGCGGGTTGACTGCCCTGGCCTGCCTCCTGCAGGTCCTGGCGGTGCTCGCTCCCCTCTCGGGGGCCGGCGCGAGGCGTGCTCCCCAGGCAACCCTGGAGCTCTGGGGGCCCCTGCCCTGCCCTCTCGGCGCCTGGTCGAGCGGGACCCGCCGAAGACGGGGGGCTACGTGGAAGTCGGGAGAATAGTCAGAACCTAGTCTGGGGACTATTCCTTCTATATCAAACAAGGAACCATTGTTGACTGTTGTTGCATATATATATATATATATATATATATATTTGTGTATGTATATACTGACTATTAGAATGGTTCGTCCAAAATCCGCTTGCCGGGGGACGTGCCCGACCGAAGGCTGCGTTTCCGTGCCAGGGGCCGAGGGAGCAAGGCTGGACCACCAAGAGGGAGAGCCAGCTGCCGCGGGCGGCGGGAAACAGAGGGACCTCAGGGGGTTCGGCAGGAGAGGGCTACCGCACGTCGGGGGCGCGCCGGAGGGGGCAGCGAGAGGGGGCACGCCCTTTTGAGGAGCCGTCTGTGGCCTCTTGCGCAGACAGCTGCTCAGAAGGCCAGAGGCCTTCTGAGCCTTCTGGGAAGGCCTGCCCCCGCTGCCTTCCTCCCTGGGAGCGCCGCGCAGTAACTACGTTCTGCGTGTGTGGGGGGCAGCAGTCAGTTTCCCCCTGGCGCTCTCAGGGTCTGGCCGTGTTCCTCGTGAGCCTCCTTTCTGGATCCGCAAATGTTTCTGATGTGAACGAGGGTTGCGCATCAGGCCAAACCGGCGGGGGGAGGAGCTCGCCGGGAGAAGGGGTCGTTCAGAGGGCGCGGGGCGCGGGGGTGAGGGGTCGCCAGGAGGAGGATGAGGAGGAAAGCATTGCGAGGAGGGCAGGGAGGGGGGTGGCTTTCCCTAGTGAGCCCCCCCTCCCACCCAGGTCCTTGCTGGGTAGGAGGTGTAGGAACGGTTAGCAGCAGGGGGGTGGAGAAGGGAGGGGGCTGATGACAAGCTGGGTGCACCCGCCATACCTGACATCCGACCACTCCAAACACAGTTCTTCCCATGGCGCCGGTGTGGTCTCGATCCGCCGACGGGCGTCCTGGCGAACCTCTGTCCCCAGAGTGGCCCCGCCGAGTGATGCGCCATCAGGGGGTTAGCCATGCACGTTGCATCAAGAGGAGGAGGAAGAAGAGGAGAAAGAGGAGGAGGAGGAGGAGGAGCAGGAGGAGGAGGAGGAGGAGGAGGAGGAGGAGGAGGAGGAGGAGGAGAAGGGGGAGGGGAGCAGGAGGAGGGGAGGAGGAGAGGGAGGGGAGGAGAGGAGGAGAGGAGGAGGAGGAGGAGGAGGAGGAGGAGGAGGAGGAGGAGGAGGAGGAGGAGCAGGAGGAGGAGGAGGAGGAGGAGGAGGAGGAGGAGGGAGGAGGAGGAGGAGGAGGAGGAAGGAGGAGAAAGAGGAGGAGGAGGAGGAGGAGGGGAGGAGGAGAAGGCAGAGGAGGAGGCGGGGGAGGAGGAGGAAGAAGAGGAGAAAGAGAGGAGGAGGAGGAGCAGGAGGAGGGAGGAGGAGGAGGAGGAGAGGAGGAGGAGGATGAGGAGGAGGAGGAGAGGAGGAGGAGGAGGAGGAGGAGGAGGAGCAGGAGGAGGAGGGAGGCGGAGGAGGAGAGGAGGAGAGAGGAGGAGGAGGAGGAGGATGAGGAGGAGGAGGAGGAGGAGGAGGAGGAGGAGGAGGGAGGAGGAGGAGGAGGAGGAGGAGGAGGGGGTGGATGAGGAGGAGGAGGAGGAGGAGGAAGAGGAGGAGGAGGAGGAGGAGGTGGAGGAGGAGGAGGAGGAGGAGGAGGAGGAGCAGGAGGAGGAGGAGGAGGAGTAGGAGAAGGAGGAGGAGGAGGAGGAGCAGCAGGGGGAATGTCATTACGGTGAGAGGCTTGGGGGTTGGATCATCGTGCAGTTACATAATTTAATATGAAGGCGGGAACAGGAGCCACAAGGGTGGCCACAGTGAGGGCCCCCCCCGTATGAACTGGGACGGTGAAGGGGCCTCCCCCCGAGGAGCCGGAAAGACACGGGTAGCAACCCAAGACTTGATAGATTTCACCCGTCACAGGGCCAGCCAGCACAGTCTGTGCCAGCCCCATCACGGTTTGCCATTAGCACCGACTCCTTGTGCTGCACGCCTATTTTACCTTGACGCGGCTTGCGTGGACAAACCCAAGGGGACTTCGGGGCATTTATCATATGGGGGTGGAGTATGGGATGTCAAAGTAACTCCAAGCACGGCAGCCTTCCGCGAGCCGCCTGTATTTTTGGGCACGCGTATACCGATTTCTCCTTACTCAGCATCCTCCTTAGATCTCGGTCATCACATATATCACAGTCAACTCTGTGCTCCTCAGGTACCTCCTCCAGTGCAGGTGGCGGGCGCTTGCTCTGCGCCGTTGTTGGCCTCCTTCTGCTGACCATCTTTTTTGCTTGCCTTTGCCCGCAGCGCCCGCCACCTGTTGAATGTGTTTGTTTCTTCGCCGAAGTCGGCGGCAATTCTTTGCACGTCACGAATGACGCAACGATCTCCGATCCATGTCTTCGCAACGTCAAAAAAGAAGGAGGGGGAGGAAGAGGAGTAGGAGGAAATTGCGGATGAGCAAGAGGATGAGCAGGATAAGGAAGAGGATAATGACGAGAGAGAGAAGGAGGAATTAGGAAAAGCAGCAGCAGGAGCAGGAGCAGGCGGTGCGGGACAAACAGGATGACCATGGGAAGGCGGAGCAGGGGAACGGAGGGGCCGACAATGACGAGGAAGGAATATGGTCCAGACATGTGGCCCGCGCCGGGGCCAGAGCGCCCGTCAGAACCACGGGAGCAGAGCGCCGATCCTGAATGGGACCCGACGTTGCAGTGGGGATTTTGTTTCAAAGACCGAAAGCGTCGAACACGTGAAACATCAATTTTAGACACCCAGCGCGAAACAAGGAAGTCTGATGCGGGAGCGGTGGCATCCCGCTCGCGCAGTATTTGGGAGAGTGGAGAGTCAAGTTCGTATGGAGTGCTTGCTGATGCGAAGGAGGAGGCGGAAAGGAGGAGGAGGAGAAGGAGGAGGAGGAGGAGGCTGGGCGCTGGGCAGTGGGGGCGTACGGCTACCAGTTTGTCGGGCTGCACGGCTTCTTCGTCTCGCCACTCCTGCTGAACAGAGGGGTTGTGGGTGTGTTCGTCGTGTTGTTTGGACCGCTTCTTTGGCGTTCACAAGAGTGGGAGGAAGAGGAGGAGGAGGAGGAGGAGGTGGAGGAGGAAGAGGAGGAGGAAGAGGAAGAGGAGGAGGAGGAAGAGGAGGAGGAGGAGGACGTGGTGGAGGCGGGGGAGTACCAGTGCAAGCCCAAGACTCATCAACGATGTTGGCACGAACCCTCTCTCCAAGCTCCCTCCTCACAGGCCCCTACAAGGATTCATTTCCATTGGGGGAAGTGCCCCGTTTGGAGACAACTGCTCAATAACCCTGAAGCGCGCCACATCACCATTCTCGGGACTTCAACGCCTCGAATTAACTTGACGGTTGCGTCTTGGCGATCCGGGAATGCACCGGAACACCAGAGTTGGGAGTGTAACACCTCGAATCACATGATTGCTGCGCCTGGGTAATCCTGAATCGCTCCAAAACGCCGTTGTTGGTGTGTTAACGTTGAGAGCCCGCGAAACTCTTGCTCATGTTGAAGACGAGTGTGCGCGGCGAGAAGGCGAGAACCACATTTCAAAAAGAGCCGCCCTCAATCCGTTGAGCCCTTGCCATTTTTTGTATGACGAATGCGCGCGGCGCTGATGCGTTCGCCACATGTTGAAGACGACCCGCCTTGATCCGTCAAACTCTTGCCAAGCTTTAAAACGAGTGCGCGCGGCGCTAAGGCGAGAGCCACAATTTGAAGACGGCCCGCCTTCAATCAGCACAAATCTTCAAAATCATAGAAGCGAGCGCGCGCGGCGCCGAGGCCGAAAATCATACTTTGAAGACGGCCCGCCCTCAATACGTTAAGCTTCTTGTGAAATTATTGACGCTCCGCGTATCCCCACCGGCCAATCCAGAAACATATCGCCAGGCGAGTTGCCTTGACTATGGATAGAAGCATTCAGCGGAACAGCCGCCTTGGAAATGTTTCGGGGGCGCTGAAGCGGTGGTTAAATTTGTTTAATGTTTGAAGCGATTGTTCCCATGGCGTGGCGGCTTCGTTGGGGTCCCTCCCGGAGTTATCTCGAAACCCTCTCGGGGCCGGGAGGCTATATTTGGCAACGGGAGGAGGAATAATGAACGGAGAACAGGAGAAGAAAAAAAGGAAGAATGGAGTAAACCAGTAGACGGATTGGGGAGGAAGAAGGAAAATACGATGAAGGCAACGACGACAAAGACGAGTTAGCCATCATACCTTCGCGAGGCTTTCGCTCCGCGAGCCTCTTCGAAGCTAATTGAAAACCCCCGTGCAAAGACCCTGCAAGGACATTGCAAATACTACCCCGCACAGACCCCTGCAACGACCCTGCAAAGATCCTGCAATGACCCTCCAATCACCCTGCAATACCTTAGGGTCCGAGCCGTATTGAGGCCTCGGAAGGCTATCGGAAGGGAAACGGCGAGAACGTAAACATAGTGATTGTCCGCTGGTTTTTGTTGACGGTGTTTGCCTCTTGACGCGTTTCGGGGGCTTTGGGGGGCGACATGGGGCTCGTTTGGGAGCCCCATGGCTCAACGAGAGTGGTGGAAATGTACACCCTCCTCCCTCTCGGAGGCTCATACAAGGCGGTTTGGGGCCCGCTTGGGGCGCTGTTGGGCGTTTTTGGGCTCCTCTTGGGGCTCTCTTGGGTCATCTTTGGGGCCATCTTGAGACTTGAAAAACTAATCGGAAGCGAAAGGGCAAGAAAACAAGACACAGTGATTGCTCCAGGTGTTTGAAGGAGTCTGGCTTTTTGGAGGTTTCCTTGTGCGGCTCGGAGGGCCTTTGGAACCGTCTTGGGGCTGTCTTGGGGCCTCTTGGAGGTCTGTCGGGGGATCGATTGAGCCACCTTGAGCTATCTTGAGCCATCGTGGCGGCCATCCTGGGGTCCCTGAGGCCCTCGTAGAGCCAGCCCGGGCCATCTTGGGCGCTCTAAGCACCCGCGCCCCCTCCCTTTCCCAGGCCCAGAGGAGGTGGGGGAGGGGCAAACCCTTACCTCGACCAGGGGAAGGAGGGAGTTTTGGCAGAGAGAAGACACAGCTCGTTAAAACAGCTACGCCCAGAGGGCTAATGGAATGTCAAGACGACTTTGCGCGGCGCTGAGGTGAGAGCCACATTTTGAAGACTGCCCGCACTCAATTCGCGAACCTCATGCAACATTCAAAGGCGAACGCGGCCGGCGCGGGGGCGAGATCCAAATTTTGGGAGCGAACCGCCCTCCATCTGTGAACTTGTTGCCAACTTCTAAGCTCCAGGGCCATAGATGGTCTCAGGCGAAGCGCCTGGCCCGCCCTTCCGATTGACTCCGGGGTGCGACAGAGAGGCGCTACTTGTAAGGAGAAGGGATAGAGGATGTGAGGAGGAGGAATAGGAAGAGGAGGATAATGAGGAGGAAGAGGAGGAAGAGGAGAAGGAGGAAGAGAAGGAGAAGGAGGAGGAGGAGGAAGAGGAGGAGGAGGAGGAGGAGGAGGAGGAGGAAATGGAGGATGATGATGATGATGAGGAGGAGGAGGAGGAGGAGGAGGAGGAGGAGGAAGAGGAGGAGGAAGAGGAAGCCATCCCGAGCTGAGCGCGGCGCTGCTCGGCTTGCCTCCTGCGGGCCCCTTCACGCGCAGAGCCATCCAGGCGCGCTGCTGCCTTGTGGCTCGCGCGCGCCAAGTCGCGCTGACGGGTGGATCTCTCAAGCTTCCGCAGGATCGTTCCGATGCAGTTTCTCTTCCATTGCCAAATTTGTTGTTCTGCATTGCCGTTGTTGTGCTCCTGCAGCGCTTTTGCGCGACATCAGAAACTCTGTAATGCGGTTTGTTTTCAGCAGTGCAGTGTTTTGCTTTGCACGCGCGGGTTCGTCCAGCCACGCGCCGCCCCTGTGGGATATTTTTGGTAGGTGGATCTCTCAAACTCTCCGCCGCCTCTGGCTATGTGTGTTGCGAGCAGGAACGCAGCAAAGCCACGTGCAGGAACACGTGCGTAACATGTGTCACGTGTGCGGAGCTACACTGTCAATGCCGCGCTTTCCTGTGGCTTTGTTTTGTTCCTGCTCCCTCGCCTGGTGTGCCGCTTCGGGGAGTCCGGAGCGGGGTAAATCAGCGGCTCCTCCTCCTGCCTGCCAGCCTTGTCCTCCTCTTCCTCCTCCTCATCCTCCTCCTCCTCCTCCTCCTCCGCCCTCGCCCCCTCTGAATTCTTGGCGTTGGCGCCATTTGCCAGGGCCCCCGAGACAGCGCGCTGAGCCTCTGAATGCCGAGTCCGACGCGTTTGCGGCGAGAGGCACCCAATTCCGAAGCATTGTAAGACGAGGGGAGGGCGATGGGGAGGGGGACGACCAGAAACAACGGGGAGACAATCTCGTACTGGCATCGAGGCGCCTGCAATCTTTGCCATGACCTCTGCGCCTGCGCATCTCAGCCTCCGTAGCCAGTATATCGGCATGCTCCAGCTCACACATGGATCAGTTTTCGTCGCCGAGTCTTCTCAGGAGGAAAGAATCAAGATGTTTGCGGGCGTGGACCCCAAACAGTGAGTTGTGGCAGTGTGGATATGTAAGCTATGCGATGCGCAAGCGTCGGTCGTTTGTTCGAAGGGCGAGCTCCCATCCTCGGGACACCCTCGCGGGCAGCAACGGGCGGCAACGGGCCAGAACGTAGCGAACCCTCGGGGCACCCCCGCACGCGGCAACGGGCCGGAACGTGGCGAGTCCCCGGGACATCCCCCCACAGGCCGCAACCGGCGGCAACGGCGGCAAGTGGCCGGAAGGTGGCGAATCCCCGGGACAACCCCACAGGCGGCAACGGGCGGCATCTCGTCTAAACGTGGCGAATCCCCGGGACACCCCGACAGGCGCCAGCGACTGGCAACGTGGGGACGCTGGCTGGAACGCGGCATCGAGCGGCAACGAGGCAGCCACAAGCCAGAACGTGGCGAATCCTCGGGACACCCGCCCAGTTCCTTAGAGACGCAATGAAGATGGGGCGTTGCGTGAGGGGGGCGGGGCGGTAAAGGGGGGGGGTGAAGAAAGGTGCAGCTTCCGTGCCCCACAGGACCCAGGGGGGCACGAAAAGTGCATGTTTCTTCGCCCCCCACTTATCATCCCCCCCCTTTGGGCAACGCCCTACATCCCTCCTCGGATTCAAACGCGAGTCTTTCCTACGACGGGGCGATGCCCCCGGCCCGGACCACCGATGTCAATGTTGACGCCGATACTGGCGACTGCATTTTTTTGTTGACCCCGCGGGCCGCGCTGCACGTTTGATTCGGAGGCGAGGGGGTCAGATAAAAACCTGCGCTTGATTTCGTGAGTGAAGGGTTGTAGGTGCAGGCGCTGCTGGGGAAAGAGACTTGCCCATGGTCTCTGCTCTCTTCCTGGCCTGCTCCCTGCCGCTCCGCCGACTCGAGCAGGGCCTCGCGGCGAGCCCCGCCAGCAGGGCGGCGCCCTCCCCGCAGGTCCAGCCGGTGAGCCCCGCCGTGGGGAGCGCCACCGCGTGGGCCGCAGGCGCTGCTCGTCGTCGTCGTCGTCGTCGTCGTTTTCGTCGTCGTCGTGTTGCTTTCTTCGTCGCTTTCGTCGTCGTCGTCGTCGCTGTCGCCGCCGCTGCCGTGGCCGTCGCCGCCGTCGACTCACAGGAGGAAAAGATGCAGCCGGGTCGCGTCGTGCCGACTTGGCGGCGACCCCGCCGCGGGCGTCCAAGGTTGAGCGCCGCCAGTGGCCCAGAATCGGCCAGTACGGAACGATCGGGAGGTCGAAAGGCCACCGATGGTTCAAGGTCCCAGGGTTGAACAGTCTACGCGGTGTCAGAAGAGCCAACGCCGGGGTCGTCACGACACGAACTTGCCGTATCGGTACCGCTGCCTTTTCCTCCCTTTCGCCCGTTCGGGCTTCCTTGGGGTCGCCTTCGTCGCCGCGGCTGCATTCGCCTTCAAATTCTGGTCAGAACGCGCCCCAGGAAGAGGTCCAGAGGGTGTTTGTCCATTCTGAGCGTTTACGCCGCATTGTCTTATTGCGCAATCGTTGGAGCAGTGTTCTCATTCCCTTTGGTATGCACGCCGTGTCAGTAGTTTTGCTTAGAAGAGTTCCGTGAGGACGGAACGTTAGCCCCATGCTGACCACAGGCTGCATCGACGTGCATGTATCGTCCAGTTTGATTGTCTCAACTTGTCTGGGGTATCGGTGTCTTCTTGCCCCCCATCGACAGCAACAATTTGACCTGACGGCGGGCTAGACTAAGCTGAGGCGTAGCCGGGGCTCACTTTGATGCGCTGAGCTGTGACTCGCTGGCGTGCTAAGAAGTCAAGTGTACGAAGGTCGGATAACCGAGTCGACGCTAGGTAGGTCAGATAACGGTTGTCGAATTGCCAGGCTAGGCGGATTTCGGGAAGGCGAAGCATGATCCAGTTGGGCCCAGTCAAGCTTTGCTAAGCTAAGACATGTAAGCCTATCACAAGCGGCCGCACTCCAGCTCACGCACCCCTCCCCTTCCCCTGAGAGAACCAATCATAAACATACGCATCGTGCCCGTAGCCATGTGGGCTCAAGGCGCCAGCGGGAAAGCTCGGGTCTTGCGCTGGCAAGCAAGGTGCCCAGCTCAGTCGTCACCACAGTGATGCTGCTGGAGCAGAGCGGGGCCTGCTCGCTGTGCCCCGCAGACTGGCTCATGACCTGCCAGGCGGCGTGGCGCTGCAGGGCCGACCTGGGCGGAGCTGCACCCCGCGACAAGCAGCGCGGGTTCCGCACGGCCTGGCCGCACCGCAGGGCCCACAAAGAGCAGTGCGCCGTCAGCTACCAGCGCGGCAAGGCCACGGGCGCCAAGCGGGAGCTCGATGACGCAGCGGTGGACGCGATCGCCGGCCAGTTCGCCCTCCGCGCCGCCCCCGCCGCAAGCCGCGCCGCGCTGCGGCGCGGCGCCCGCACGGGCGGCCGCGCTGGGGAGGCGGCGCAGGCGCACGCGCCCGCCGACGCTCCGCCTCGCGTGGCCAGGCCCGCTGGCTCGGCCACGGCGCGCCGTCGGAGAGCTCGTCCAGGCAGGCCTCCGCGGGAGGGCCGCCGCCGTTTGCCGCGGCCGTGGCGCCGGCGTCTGCGCCTCCGCGCGCTCGCGAGCGGCCGCCAGCTCGGGGGCGACGCCGAGTCACCGGCCCGGCCCGCCCTTGGCCGCAGCGCCGTGCGCAGCCGCACGGGGAGCGCTGCCCGGGTATCGAGGTCGGGCGGTTGGCGGTGGGAAGGTCGTCACGTTCTGGCCGCGAGGAGGAGCGGGGTCGCTGGGGCGTGTTGGGACCGCATGTCGGAAGCCTGGGTGGCTCGCGGGACGGAGTCTGGAGGCCGCAAGCAGTACTAATCGCCGGAAGCGGTAGGTGCAGTGCCGAAAGTCCTTCCAAACAGCGTTTTCGCCTCGGCGTGGGTAGCACGCCGTCAGCATCGCATGCACGCCGCGGGCAGTTTAGAGCGAATCGTTAGGCTGCCTCAGCCGACACCGCTTCTTTTGATTCAAGTTGGGGTGCAGGACATCGCGGACGAATCAAGCGCAAGTTCGACAGAAGTCAAAATTGCAACAATGTCCCAGCAGATTGGGCCAGTTAGAGTGTCACCAGCTTCCGTCGTTGTGATCCGAATTTGTCTGGGCTTGTACTCTCAGCTGCGCTGCGCGCAGCGCCCTGCGGGGCTCGTGCCAGACACAGTCATCGCTGTCGTTTGGCACCTTTTTTGTTCGGGGCGCGCGCCAGGCAGGGTTTGAACGCAGAACACTTCGGGGCTCGTGCCGACGCTCCCTGTCAAATGCCCAGCTGTTGGGCACCGCTGCTATTGATGGTCAGCGACGATGACTACAGGCTGCAACGCGCTGCTCACCCACCGATGCTCGGTGAAATTCGGCGTTGCTCATGTGCTCGGAGGTGCCCACGGCTGCTCAGCGCTGGGCAATGCTTGCTCCCCGTTGCTCGATATTAGAGAGTGCTGGTCGCTGGTGGTCACTGGTGCTCAGTGCTACACAGTGTTTGCTCTGTGTTTGCCCACTCAAATATTTGTTATGTGCTCTGTTTCTGTCTGTTGGTCTCTGCTGTCCGTTGCATGCCCTACGCTGGTCAGTGCTGATTGCGCAGTGTGAGCCAGTGTTGCTTACGGGCGATCACTTCTGCGCAGTAGCGTTCACTATCATCATTGCTGCGCGTCTTCGGCCCACTGTTGGTTTATTGCATTGCGCACAGCCTGATTGCAATTGATCGCGTATTGTTCGCTGCAGGTCATTACTTGGGCATTGGTGCTCAGCATTCTGCAATGAAACCATTGGTTGCTCGCTGGTGGCCAGTGATGCCTGGTGGGAATCGTTAGCTTTCAGTCGTGCTCCCTGATGCTGTGCTGCCGGCTGGTGCTAAGTCTATACTAGTATCTGGTCATTGCCATGTTATTGCGCGATCAATGGTGGCTCATTGCTGCTGGCTTGTGGTCCCACTGGCGGCTCAGTTCTGCTCACTGCGGCACTCTGCTTGACCATTGCGTTCTGGCTGATTGCGTGCCAGAATCTCACTGCTTGGCACTCTTGGCTGCTGCTGCCCAGCGGTGCGCACGGCTGGTCGGTGCTGCATACTGTTGCTCGCTAACCCGCCCTCCATGCAACAACGCCACGCTCACATCAGCAATAATTGTCCCCTACCACATGATCAGCGGGGGCTCCCCCACTCCAGGATATGCGCGTGCCCCAACAACACCAACATGCAATGCTCATTCGAGGGGAAGCAGTGGGCACCAAGTGCGCGAGCAGAAATGCAGATGTGAGCATTGGTGATCACCAATGAACAACCAGAGAAACAGCAGCGGGGAAATCAGTGATCAATCAGTGGGCAAGCTGCGGGCACCATTGATTAGCCATGGGTTGCATGTGGCACTCGTGCGCAGTTAGTGAGCACGCAGCGCGCAGTAAGTGAACAACAAGAAACGCGTCATTGCCTGCTCGATGATCTTCTGCTGCTGCTAACTTCTGGTTTGTTGCGGCCTACAGCTGGCTGCTGATGGCTGGCCGCTGCAATGCATGGTACTCACTGCTGGCTCGTTACACAATGCTGCCAAGTTATGCCCCATGGCCTTCGGTGAACTTTCACCTTTTTTTTTCTCGTGAAGCACGCCGGCCAAGCAACCACCGCAAAACAACACCACCAACAACAGCAATAACAGCACCAGCAACGCTAACAATCGCAACAACAGCAACCAACAGCATCAACATCAGCACCAACAACAGTAACAACAACCAATAGTAACAAGCGCAACACCAACACTAACAACGACATCAACAACACCAACAACTCAATCCAAAGAACACCATGTCCCGATGCCAAGCACGAGCAGCCAAAGCCAGGCGCGACCACCCAATGCGCAGCAATGCCTAAGACGACCATTCAATGACATTCGCTGCCAAGTACGACCGACCAAAACCAACTCAACTCACGACAGGCACGACCACTCAATGCCAAGCACGACCACTCATTGCCACACACGACCACTCAATGCCAAGCACTGCCGCTGCTAAGCAATGCCAAGCAGAAACAGTGAATGCCAAGCAGTGCCAAGCAGCAGAGCCAAGCACGATCGGCCAAAGCCAACCACGGCAAACTAATGTCAAGCAGTTCCAAGCACGACCAGCCACTGCCAAACATGACCGCTCAATGCGAAGCACGACTCACCAGTACCAGGAACTGGTATCAGGACCATTCAGTGCCAAGCCATGCCAAGCATTACTGTTCAATGTCAAACACAACCGTTGAATGCCAAGCAACGCCAAGCATGACCATTCGATGCCAAGGATTGCCAAGCATGACCTGCCAACGCCAAACGATACCTCGCCCAAGGCCCCTGGGATCCATTCCATCAGCTCTGGGGCACCCCGAAGATGCTCAGGGCATCTGACCAGGGCGCTCTTCCCTGGGGGAGGAGGATCTGGATGACAGCGGGGAAGCACGCGCTGGGAGTGGCCTGAGCCGCGCCCCCGCGCCGCACTCGTCGTCGAGGAAAGTCTTGCTCCGCCGCCACCGATCCTCTTGCGCACCGCTTCGCGCAGCAAGGGACCCAGAGGACACGGGCGGGGTTGCGGTCAGGAGCTTTGGCTCAAATCGTGTCGCGCCGCCTGTTCTGTGGCCCACCGCGCTCAGGCGCGGCACGCTATGTCCACGTCCCGGCCCCAAGCGTCCACGTCCCGCTCCTTTCCCGCCCTCCCGCCCCGCGGAGCGGAGCGGCACGCCGTCCGCTCGCGAGGCAGAGCGGTGCTGCCCAGGCAGCCGCCGCGACACGCGAAGCAAAAGTTCCCGACCGCTGCGACGGAGGGGTGATGCCGTGCTTCCCGACCCCGCGGGCAGCGGCCGGCGGATGAGGTGGCGCTGGCTTCGGCCAGTGCCCCGCCGCCGTCGTCGCCGTCGTCGTCACCGCCGCCCTCGTCGCCGCCGCCGTGTGCCCTGCGAGGTCCCCCCTGGGGCAGGCAATGGCCAACAGCTTCCCGTCGTTATTTTTCCCCGACGCGATGGGACAGCATGCTACGCTTGGAATGGCATCCGTGAAAGCATGATGAATTGATTGGCTAGATGAAGCGGCTATGTTAACCATCTCGAGGACCGCTATGATGTGGATCCAGCTCCGAGCCGCGCGAAGAAGATCATGAGTGCGAAGGTCTCTGAAGGTTGTTTCCCCCAGACAAACCTGTCCGATGGTCTCGTTCGCTAGCAAATCATGGGAACCATGCGCACCCCAGTATCGTTGTCTTTAGAGTGCACTCGCGCCAAGTAGCGTTCGAGATAGCGACGTGTTAGCATCGGTTAGCGTCGAGTAGCGTCGAGTTAGCGTCGATTAGCGTCGACTCGCGTCGATAGGCGCCCATTCGCAAGAGCCATTAAGATGGTTTGAGAGGCTCCCGTGAGTTGCTGCAGAAGTCTCTTAGTTTGGCGTCGCCCTCGCCCTAGCCCAGACGGGCGAGATTATGGCTTCTGCCACCACGGGGTCCCCAGAAGTCCCGATCCCTTCCCCGCGGCTGGTTCTGCATCCCCGGCCGTTTCTGTTGACGGTCCCGGGGCCTGGCGAAGGACCCCGTCCGAAAGCGGCCCACACTTTTACAATTTATTATATCGGCATCGGGCGCCGCCCTCACCGCGCCCCAGGCTGTGCCGGTAGCTGGCCCGGCCCCGGCCGCGTCGCCGCTACCGTCCCTGGCGCCAGCGCCGGCGGCGACGGCGCGCGTGCTGGGAGCCCCACGGCGCCGGCCTGCTTTGTGGCCACGCCGCGGGGGGGGGGGGGTGTCGGTTCGTCGAGCAGTGGCGAAGCGTCCTGGCTCGCCTATAGGCCCACCAAAGGATGCTCTAAGAACCTCCTGTGGTCTGCACGCGATGTTCTTAGAGCATTCCTGGCTGAGACTGTCTTGTTTTCACACATCGGGCTGATGTTCTAGTTCTAAGAACATGTCGTGGTGGACCTGTAGGAATGCCGGGACGGTCGGTCCCTGCTCAAGTTCGGGGAACAAGCACAATGACATAAGCATAAAGACTTGGAGGTCCGCGCGGATTCCTCGGATCGGCGCTGGGGCTTTTTGGCGGGCGCCTCCGGCGCTGCCCCTGGCACGCTCCGCGCGCCGGGGAGGGGAGTCCAGCGCTGGTCCAATAAAAATACGCGCGGACCTCCGAGTTTCTAACGATGTTGATGTCATTGTTTGCTCCACTATCGGTAGCAAATCGTGGGGGTTTGAGGAGCGTTTCTTTATTCCCAGGCGATAGCGACGTTACTGGGGAGGGATTCGGTAGCAAGTTATAGGTGTTTCGGATAGCGTTTCTTCATTCCCAGACAATAGTGGACGGCGTTGCCGGGGGGAGGGGGGCGGAGGGCGCGGTAACGTAACGTTTCGCGCGGGCGCCGTCTGAGAATGCCTACAAGAGGAATAGCCAAAGACAGCTTGGAGGGCCAGTGCCGATAACGGCCGCTACCACGAAACATCATTAATTGTGTCATTCGAGCGCGCTAGCTAGCGTCGATTAGGCTCAGCAGGAAGCAGAAGGTCCGTATTTGTTGTGCTTGTGTTGTCTCGAAGCTGACATACTCACTGTTGGCCGCGTGTTTGAGCAAACCTGAGCGTCGGAGGCTCGATAGCTGTCAAGCCATTGCCTGCGGAGGATTTGTCATTTACCACTCCTTGGAACCCAGGCCCAGGGCTGGCTGACCCCGGGCGAGTTTTCGTTTTGTCCCCCCTTAAAGCTATGTGGCCACCAGAGCGGAGGGGGCCTGCCACATCAGTTGTCTTGTGTACTTTACGAAGCAGCCACGCTTCTCGCACGCCACATGCAGCGGCGCACCACGTCAGGGCCAGGCAAGCCGCATAACCGCCGCAGGATCGTTCCGATGCAGCTTCTCCTCCAGTGCAGAACTTGTTGTTTTGCATTGCCGTTGTTGTTCTCCTGCAGCGCTTCTGCGCGACATCAGAAACTCTGCAATGCGGTTTGTTTTCAGCACTGCAATGTTTTGCGTTGCACGCGTGGGTTCGTCCAGCCACGCGCCGCCCCTGTGGGATACTTTTGGTAGGTGGATCTCTCAAGCTCTCCGCCGCCTCTGGCGGTGTGCGTTGTTTCGCTGTCAATGCCTCGCTCTCCTGGGGCTTTGCTGTGCCCCTGCTCTTAACACTTGTCACGTGTGCGGAGCTACACTGCCAAAGCCGCGCTTTCAGTGGCTTTGCTGTGTTCTGGCTCGCAACGCACACCGCCAGAGGCGGCGGAGAGCTTGAGATACCAACCTGCCAAAAGGGGTTGGCGCGGAAACCGTGTTGCACATCATCTGGGCCAGGCGCATAGAGGCGCCCCTGGGCGTCGAGGCCTGCGTGCTGGACGCAGCTGCAGAACAAAGGGTCCCAGCCCTCGGCCCCTCGACCCCTGGTCAAAGGGCGTGCCGATACCACCCGGGAGCCCTGAGACAAGGGTCGGTGCAAACGGGGGTCGGCCAGAGCGCCAGATCTTGCGGGATCTTGCAGGGCCAGGGCCGGGGTCCCAGCCCCCGGTGTATGTGCAGTGCCACCGCTGCGCCACCACTCCCAATTTGCTCTGGCCCTGACCACCAGAGAGCATTCCGAGCACCAGGGAAGTGCCGAGACTCCAGGGTTTTCACGTGACGGGCCCCGGGAGACACTCGTCCGACACTGTCTCGACGCTGTTTCGGCACTTTGTTCGGGTGTTCGAAATTGTTTCTGGGAGGTGGTCGTTCTCGGCACGATGGGAGCAACATAGCTCTCGGTCTGTCGACCCCTGGTCAAGGGAGTCCCGATACCACCAGCATGCCACCACTGGCTTCTGCGCTCGAGATCGCTGCTCAAGAGAAGTCAGCCACGCGCAGAAGGGGGGCGGGGGAAGGGGGGAGGGCTTCCTAGAAGCACCCCTGCTCCTTAGAAGGCGCGGGCCTCATCTATAGATGCAAGGCGGGCGCCTTCGAAGCAGCAGCCTCCTTCTAAGAAGCCCTCCCCCCTCCCTCCACCCCCCTTGGGCGCATCGCCAAAGGAGCTCAGCCGAGGCCTCGCCAGAAGACGGATACTTCTCGTGGCGCAGCTGGCCAGGAGACCAGCGGAAGACCCGGTGCGGTGCTCGGTGTTTGGACCAGGCACCATACACACTGTTCGTTTTCAATTATTCGGAAGTTCTTTGATTCCCTACCTAGGCTCTGCCTAGAGGGTTCTTACTTTGTTTGCTTAAAGGGGCCTGGCAGTGTAGGCCGCCCCGGGCGGTTCCCCCAGTCCCCGCCCCGCGGTTCCCCCAGTTGCGCCCCCTCAGCTTAGCTTAGCTTATCCCATCTTAGTTTAGCTTCGCTTAGCTTAGCTGTGCCTAGCTCAGCTTAACTTAGCTTAGCTTATGTTATCTTAGCTTAGCTTAGCTTAGCTTAGCTTAGCTTAACTTACCTTGGCTAAGCTTAGCTTAGCTTAGCTTAGCCATACCATATCATTTCATTGTATAGCATAGCGCAGCACAGCCTAGCATAACATAGCATATCATAGCGCAGCATATCATATCATAGCGTAGCATATCATAACATAGCGCGTCATATAGCATAGCATAGCGCAGCTTTGCATGGCATAGCATAGCATCGCATAGCATAACATAGCATAGCATAGCGCATCATAGCATATCATAGCATAGCATAGCCTAGCACAACACAGCGCAGCCGAGCGTAGGTGTAGATGTAGATGTAGATGTGAGTCTCGCTGTTGATGTTGATGTAGATGTATATGCAGGTGTAGATGTACATGTAGCTGTCGGTGTAGATGTAGATGTTGCTTTCCTAAATGCTCCAACTCCTAGGTAGGGTCGCACTGGGATATTTTTTTAGGGGCCCAGATCAAGATCCTTTCATTTTTTTTGTTCTATATTTGGCCTCTTCCTGGCCACTGGGGGGCCAGGAACAATTAGAAACGAACGCAGTTAGAAATGAGCACGATTAGAAATTAACGACGTGTACGTTTGCGCCGACCGACCGATCCAAGGGGGAGAGGCCGACCTTGACAGGCGTGGGGGCACCTCGTCATGCGCGATTGCATGGAAGGTGCCGGCTTGCCCGCGCGTCTCGCGGACAACTTCCGCCCAGAGGGTGGCGCAGCACGCGAGGGGGAGCTGGTCGTCAGAAGCTCGGTTAGCGTCGATGTAGCGACGATTAGCGTCGGTTAGCGTCGATCAGCGCAGATTCGCAGGGGCCAATCGGGTGGCAGGGGAGGCCCCCATGAGTTGACGCAGAAGGGAGGAGGGAGGGCGTCGGGGCCCAGTTCGACGGCGAGCCCTGAGATCCTGGCGTGCCATTTCTGGAACGGGCGATTTTGTCTTGTTTCGGGCCCCTGGTCCCTCACGGATCGACCTGTCTCGAAAATGCGCAGGATGGCCTACAGTTCAAGTTATGATGCTTCGCGATGCCGCATTTGCTTTGCAACCTCGGCCCTCAGGGAAGGCAGAGAGGGCGGGCCTTCTCAGAGGGCTCAGGAGGCCTACCGCCTCCTGAGGAGCTTTCTGAGCCTACTCCGAACTTAGCTGCCCTGATACGCCCGTTGTGGAACGCAGCACGTGCCGTGCTCAAAACGCCCGCGTCGACAAGCTGCGTGGTGGCTCAGCGTATTGGCCTACGTTATGGCGAACTTATCGCGCCAGACCTGCGTTTTCAGTCCAGGTGTTGAGCTCCGCATCCATACGCTACGTGTCGCGTTTTGCGTACCGGGGCAACTGAGACTCCGAAGCCGCGGAGGGCTTCTCGGCGGCCGGGAGGCTTCCCGAGAAGCCCCGCCGCCCCCTTCAGGAGGCGTGCCCCCTCTCGCTCTCCCCCCCTCGGCGCGCTGCCGCGCTGGGACCGCGGCCATGGTGGCGCGGCAGGGGGACTGGAGGAGGACGAGGAGGAGCAGGAGGCGGACGAGGAGGAGGAGGAGGAGGAGGAGGAGGAGGAGGCGGACGACGAGGAGGGGGAGGAGGAGGAGGCGGAGAAGGAGGGGGAGGAGGAGGAGGAGGCGGACGACGAGGAGGGGGAGGAGGTGGAGGCGGAGGAGGAGGAGGAGGAGGAGGAGGAGGAGGAGGAGGAGGAGGGGGAGGAGGAGGAGGAGGAGGAGGAGGAGGAGGAGGAGGAGGAGGAGGAGTTTTCACGGTCTTCGGGTGTCTCCGTCGGCCCTCGATTGCTTTCCAGCCCCGCGGTGCGTTCCAGCGGCTGAGCCGTCGCCGAGGGTGTCCTGCGGGTGCCCGAGTCGCTCCGAGCAGCCGCCGGAGGCGCGGTCTGTGACCCCAAAGCCAGGCGACCATGCCTTGATGGGCCTGTTTTCCACCACCACCACCACCATTAGTTGGAGGGGGGAAGGAGGAGGAGAGCGAGGAGGCGGAGGACGAAGAGGAGAGGAGGAGGAGGAGGAGGAGGGGGAGGGGAGGGGGAGGAGGAGGGGGAGGAGGAGGAGGAGGAGGAGGAGGAGGAGGAGGAGGAGGAGGAGGAGAGGAGGAGGAGGAGGAGGAGGAGGGAGGAGGAGGAGGAGGAGGAGGAGGAGGAGGAGGAGGAGGAGGAGGAGGAGGAGGAGGAGTATATATAGCGAGCGATCACAATGATCCGTACCGATGACAGTGGCCTGCCCAGGGTGGCGCACACCCAACCACCTACGCCACCTGGGCAGGCTGGGGGATGACGGGAGGCGGAGGAGGGCAGGCAGGGGGCGGGAGAGAGGCTGGGCGGCGCCTGATGGCGGCGTGGGCCGCCGCGACGTCGGCAGCCACCGCGTCGGCCCCGAACGGC